ATCCGTTGCGCAAACCCTAGAATCGATCTCTTAGGAATTAGATTCGCTCATGAGATCCCAGGAATCCCAACAGTGGTATCAGAGCCTGGTTGCTCTGTTTTGATTTCGTAGAACCCGATCACGCATGTTTTAGGATTTGAATTGTTTGAATCCATGTTTGCTTTGATGTCTATGCATGTTTGATGATTGAATCTAGTGTAGATTGCATGTTTCATATTGCATAGAGTGCAGGAGTTCGAATTTTGGGTTCACAGGAGAATTCGGATCAGTTTCGGATCTGAACGGGGCCGAGAACGCGAAAAACGTGATGTGATCACGTGACCAAACCCTAGACCGTCCGTTCTGGTTTCCCAGACCAAGCAGCCAGATTCTTTCTTCCCACTACATGATCTGCGGGGAACAAGTTATAATATATGATGGTTGAAGTATACAATTTTAACGTATACAATTTCCAAAAAAAAAAAATATTTTACAATATATATATACATATATATTAAGTACGACATTTATTATATGCGAAAAATTTATGTGACAAACAAATGAAATGTATATACGTACCTTTTGATATTCTTTGATTTATGGATTGGTGGATCAGCATTTAAGAGTTACATTGTATAATAATGCGTATATATATCTATTTATTCCTCGATCGATATAATAATTTGGTATAATATATTTTTGTATTATTTGGACTGATACGTAAATTATCTCTTAGGAGCAAACTTTCATATATTACGTGTGAGCTTGGCGTTTTCCGAAAATGGAAACTAGTTGATTAGTCAAATTCAAAAACATTTCAGACCACATCCTAAATTTGTATCCATGCATTATTGGGCCTGGGTCTGCCTTGCCTAGACCGAGTCAATGAACAATTTATATACTAATATATATATACACACACACACATGCGTATCTGTTACATGTACATATGTATCACTTTCTTTGAAATGAAATTATACGTATTTCATGGGCCGATTTCTTCAGGCCTTACAATTTGGTTCTGTTCATCTTCTTCTTCTTGAACCTTTCAACCAAATCTCGATACGTATTCCATTGTGTTGTTCTAATGATTCGGAAAATAATGTTATAGTTTTGATTTATATATAACAAAATCCCAACATATTAATTTCTACTTCTTTCCAAAACTTCAAACTTCGACAACGTTCTCTACGACAATGGGCATGCGCAAAAAGGAGAAAAAAGAAAATTTTACTTTTAACTTCGTTTCATCAATTTTCACTTTTTACTGAATGTGAATATATATATAGTTTTGGAAAAATAAAAATAAAAAACAAAGTTGACTTTCTACCGTGATTCGGTACGGAAGGAATCATATCGTAAGACAAATTTCTCATGCAGACGTTGATCATACGTACGTATGTACCTGTGTATGCTGTACATACACATTTAAACAAAAACAATGTTGTACATACACATATATGCAGTCAATATGTGATTATATACATTTTTTTTGGGAAGACGTGCCACATATGTTCCTTCTCTATCCCATAATACGTTTCGGATTATTTCGTTTGATAGATTATCAAAATATTTATTTGAAAAATAAAATGTATAATTTGTATATTTGGATGTGTTATTATGATCTCAACTATTCTAATACGCATTTCATTTCATTTCTATTTTTTTTGCAGTAGAGTAAATCAATATATATATATATATATATATATATATATTTATTTATTTATATATGCCTTAAATAGATTTGGGCCAGTACTCATTGTATAAGTTCCAATTAATTTCAATATATGAATGTGTTATAATATATATTCTAAAATATGATCCGCTCAAGTGCAATCCTAACTCTAAGTATAAAAATTATCAAAGCATGGAATCGAAAACAAATATTTAGAAAACTGATATTTTTTATTGATAAAATATTTAGTTTCTCAAAATAAAAAATAAAAAATCTAAAAATAATCACACGATATGGCCTGTTTCGGCACATATAATCGACTATTGGTTAGAGTATTAATTTATTCTGTCACATAATGTGACTCAATCAATTTCCAGTGTTATAATTTTTTTTTTAAATTTTCTTAACCAAACAAACAAATCTATTATTCGAACAAAAATTCTGAATGTTTGCAAGGAAAAAAAATATGCAAAAAAAAAAAAGAGTGGAGATAAATCCATAAATGAATTGGGGGAAAATACAAAAAGAGCATATCGATTTCACAGGTCTTCCTTCTCTCTCGTATATTCTCGTGGCCCAGAATCTATCCGAATTTAGGGTTTTTGTTTCTTCATCTGCTCCGATTAGCGAATTCTCGAAACCCTAATCATTGCATCAGGTAAGATTCCTCCCCCTACCGCTTTGACGGTTATATTGTTAGTCCTCAGTCGAAGATTCGTTGCCAGGAATTTCTCTGTTTTCGGTTCATTCATCTCGAGGAAGCTTCCTCTTTTATGGCCGATCTCTTTTTGGTTTCCTATTCGATCTGCGCATTCTCCGATTTTCTTTGATCGCAATGTTTCCAGTAGGCACCTGCACTTCAAAGATTTCATTTTGCTTTCCATGAAAAAAAATCGGTTCGGAACGTTATTTCCATCAACAAACCTGTTAATTTTACGCTTTGTATCAATGTTTTGATTATGCCTGTATAATCTTGTTTGAGATACATGTAGATAGCTGTAAGCCTGTAAGTAATTCTGATTTTGATGATGATCTTGTTGATAACTATCCGAGTTCACTTCTCCCTTTTCCCCCCTGTATTTCGATTTGTATTTCCTATCTAATGGCTTAGCGTGATCTGTATTTCAATCCGCAATTCACTGGGGGCGATTTTGTGATACTGTGATTATTTGTTATCTTGTTATGTTGATGAGAATGCTGCTTTTGGAATTTGGTTTGGAAATACATAGGGAGACCTTTAGCGCAAATTTCGATTAGATGTTATGTCTCTTCTGTTCATCTGTGAGAACGATTTTCGTCGTGACTGACCATATTTCACAACTTCTGAGGCATACTTACACATATATATATATATACATATTTATATAAATGCGTAAATACGCCATGTTCAATCCACGCAAATACTCATGGAAGCCTAAGGAAAGACCAAAAATATAAAGATGATACTCCATAAAAATGGTCAGAAATATGTTCATAAGAGGGAGGGCGGAAACAACAATGGTTCTTTAAAAAAGACCTTTTTCCTTCCGAGAACACTAGAAAATTAAAAATAAAAAACAAAAATATAACGGAAGAGACGCGAAAGAAGAAGAATGATAAAACAGGAAACGCTTAGAGAGAGTTGGCGGGGTCAAAATCAAATAGAACCTTGCGAAACAAGCAACCTTCTTCTCCGGACAACACAGACACTCAAATCACTTCCCCCTCTTTTGTGCCTCACAGAAGATCCGCCACGTTGGACGGAAGCTCCTCCACGACAACGTTGTAGAACTTCTGGATATCAAAGAGCATCCTCTCATCGTCACGAGTCACGAAGTTGATGGCCACACCCTTTCTCCCGAACCTTCCACTTCTTCCGATACGGTGGAGATAGTTCTCCGGCTGTGTCGGAAGGTCAAAGTTTATGACCAGAGAGACCTGCTGGACATCGATACCACGGGCCAAGAGATCTGTCGTGATCAAGACACGGGATGATCCTGACCTGAACTCACGCATGATGATGTCTCGAGTGTTCTGGTCCATGTCACCGTGAGTGGCCGAGACCGTGTGGTCGCGGCTTCTCATCTTGTCTGTGAGCCAGTCCACCTTGCGCCGGGTGTTCACAAAGATCACGCTCTGGGTGATGGCCAGAGTCTCGTAGAGATCGCAGAGTGTTTCGAGCTTCCACTCCTCCTTCTCAACGTTCACATAGAATTGCTTGATACCCTCGAGGGTAAGCTCATCACGCTTCACCAAGATCCTCACGGGTTTGTTCATGAACTTCCTTGTGATCTCGAGAGCCTCTGGAGGCATTGTGGCTGAAAACACACCGACCTGGATCTTGGGTGGGAGGAGCTGAAAGATGTCGTAGATCTGAAAAAACGCAGAAACATCGGTTATTGGGTCTTTCTCAGGTTACAGCAGGCATTAAGGGAAAGAATCGGGTTTTGTAATAAACAACAAATTACAAACCTGATCCTTGAAACCCCGGGAGAGCATTTCATCAGCCTCATCAAGAACAAACATCTTGATGTAGTCAGGACGGAGGGATTGCCTACGCAACATATCAAAGACACGACCAGGAGTACCGACAACGACATGGACACCGGCCTGGAGAATGCGTTGGTCTTCACGAACGCTAGTACCACCGACACAGGCATGAACCTTGACACCGAGGTAATCTCCGAGAGCCCTCATAACTTTTTCAATCTGCTGGGCAAGCTCCCTGGTGGGACCCAAAACCAGTGCCTGACATTGGACAAGGCTGTAATCAAGTTGCTGCAGAACTCCAGAGCAGAAAGTTGCAGTCTTTCCGGTACCAGATTGAGCCTGCTGGATCACATCAAGCCCCTTGCAGAATGGGACTATCCCTCTTTGCTGAATCGCTGATGGCTTCTCAAAACCTGGAAGCAATGACAGAGAGACGGATAAGGCAAAGATCGAAAGAGGAGAAAGCACAAAAGACATCCTCTGAAAATCTTCTCATTCACCTACCGTATGCATAGATACCCCTGAGAAGGTTCTCTTGCAAACCCATGGAGTCAAAGCTTTCATAAACCTCGTCGTAAGACGGAGGAGACTCGAACGGCGGAGACGAAAAGACCAAACGACGACGGCGAGGCGGAGAGAACGAACGGGAACGGCGAAGATGGAGAGACCGAACGACGCGGTGAGAGAACGAAGGAACGACGCAACGAGAGCTCGAGGGAATGGCGAGATTTTTTTTTGGTTCCGTAGAAGATGATGCCGCCTGAGAAGAGAAAGAGATGTGGACCTCATTAGTGAATTAGGGTTAGGGGTATTGTTAAAAATGTATTAAAAAACAAGGGTATTTTCGTAATTTACTTATTTATCGGGTACCCGTGAGATAACCCGTTCTACAATTCTCGAACTCGAACTCGAACCCGAAACTCGGGTTTTTCATCTCACCAAACCCGAACTCAGTCTTATTGTCTCACGAGTACTGAATCCCGGGTACCCGTGAGACAGGGTATCCGAAAACCCGCGGGTGTCGGGTAAAAATGCCCAGCCCTAGCAAGCAGGATATGCAACACATCTCTATACATCAACAGAAGAAAATCAGACAACTAAGCGACTCAAATTTCACAAATTTCGAACCGACCCAGGATAAATCGAAACCAAATCAATAGGAAGAGATCAAATCAACCCATGAAAACCCAAGATCCAATCAACCATCGAGGAACAGCGCAATCAAATCACGTGAAAAAAAAATAGATCGATTTTTCACGCCAAAAAAAACACGGGAAAAAATATGAACTTGGAGCTGAGCTGATGGAGAGGAAAGCTAGAGCGACAGGAAGTTTGGGTTTTGATGAGAACTTGAATCTCCCCAAACTCGGATCTGAGCGGCGAAGGGAGATAAAAAATAAAGAGGCCGATACAAGGAAAGCGTTCGCGAGTTTTTATATTCCCTTCCTCCGGCTGTGGCGTTAGGGTTTTCCTCTTTGCAACTCATCCTCCTCTTTTTTCGAAATTCCTATTTTACCCTTGTCCCTGCTTAATTATTACCCTTTTGGGTTTGACATCATGACATATGACGATGCCTATAGCCCAAAAACCGTGTATTTTTCTGCCTTTTTACTCTATTAAAGACTTGGTATTATTATTTTTCATTTATATTATAGTTTGTAGATATAACCATGAAAAAGAAGCATATATTATATTATTTGGGTAGAAATTATTACAAATCCATTTGAGAAAAATCGAGCATTTTAAGAAATGGCTTTAACAAAAAAGTAATTATGTGCAATTTGTCTATCAATGCCCGCGATAGCTTTTGAGCCTTTATGACGTGGATTTTCAATTATGACGTGGATTCTCAATAACAAAAGTATTTTACAAGTAAAAAAAATATATACACAAGACTAAGAAACATAAATACATAATCTAATTGAGGAAAATGAACGGCGGAGACGAAAAGACCAAACGACGACGGCGAGGCGGAGAGAACGAACGGGAACGGCGAAGATGGAGAGACCGAACGACGCGGTGAGAGAACGAAGGAACGACGCAACGAGAGCTCGAGGGAATGGCGAGATTTTTTTTTGGTTCCGTAGAAGATGATGCCGCCTGAGAAGAGAAAGAGATGTGGACCTCATTAGTGAATTAGGGTTAGGGGTATTGTTAAAAATGTATTAAAAAACAAGGGTATTTTCGTAATTTACTTATTTGTCGGTACCCGTGAGATAACCCGTTCTACAATTCTCGAACTCGAACTCGAACCCGAAACTCGGGTTTTTCATCTCACCAAACCCGAACTCAGTCTTATTGTCTCACGAGTACTGAATCCCGGGTACCCGTGAGACAGGGTATCCGAAAACCCGCGGGTGTCGGGTAAAAATGCCCAGCCCTAGCAAGCAGGATATGCAACACATCTCTATACATCAACAGAAGAAAATCAGACAACTAAGCGACTCAAATTTCACAAATTTCGAACCGACCCAGGATAAATCGAAACCAAATCAATAGGAAGAGATCAAATCAACCCATGAAAACCCAAGATCCAATCAACCATCGAGGAACAGCGCAATCAAATCACGTGAAAAAAAAAATAGATCGATTTTTCACGCCAAAAAAAACACGGGAAAAAATATGAACTTGGAGCTGAGCTGATGGAGAGGAAAGCTAGAGCGACATAAAGTTTGGGTTTTGATGAGAACTTGAATCTCCCCAAACTCGGATCTGAGCGGCGAAGGGAGATAAAAAATAAAGAGGCCGATACAAGAAAAGCGTTCGCGAGTTTTTATATTCCCTTCCTCCGGCTGTGGCGTTAGGGTTTTCCTCTTTGCAACTCATCCTCCTCTTTTTTCGAAATTCCTATTTTACCCTTGTCCCTGCTTAATTATTACCCTTTTGGGTTTGACATCATGACATATGACGATGCCTATAGCCCAAAAACCGTGTATTTTTCTGCCTTTTTACTCTATTAAAGACTTGGTATTATTATTTTTCATTTATATTATAGTTTGTAGATATAACCATGAAAAAGAAGCATATATTATATTATTTGGGTAGAAATTATTACAAATCCATTTGAGAAAAATCGAGCATTTTAAGAAATGGCTTTAACAAAAAAGTAATTATGTGCAATTTGTCTATCAATGCCCGCGATAGCTTTTGAGCCTTTATGACGTGGATTTTCAATTATGACGTGGATTCTCAATAACAAAAGTATTTTACAAGTAAAAAAAATATATACACAAGACTAAGAAACATAAATACATAATCTAATTGAGGAAAATGGTAACAAACATGACATGAAATGAAATGATGGCGATGATGATGATGATGATATTTAAACTCGGATTATACATAAAACATTAAACAAATATTATATATTTCCTTTGAATATTTCTATATAGGGATTTTTTTCTCTTATCTTAAAAAATATGAAATAACTTAAAACAATAATTATTTTGAAACAGAGGGAGTATATATTTTTCTGTATTTCCCACCAAAGGAAGAGAAGATGGTGCAGCCAGCCAGCGTTTCTGAACCCAAGATTTCCAAGCCCAGCCAATCTCCTTCAGAAGATCGAACGTTTGCTAGTCCTCTTGCTAGAAAGATGGCTGAAGACAATAATGTTAGTGGTGAAAAATACTATCAAAGTCTCTTATTTTTCATCTTTCGGTGCTTAACTCTTTTTTGCTCTTCTTTAAACCACTAGGTACCTCTCTCAAAAATCAAAGGAACAGGTCCTGAAGGACGGATTGTGAAGGCTGACATCGAAGATTACTTAGGTATCGGAATTCTTTGCCTCTCCCTCTCATCCTTTTCATTTTTGTTGTTCATATCTATTTTTGTAGTTTTTAACCCATGCATGTGCCCTAATGCAGCATCAAGTGGTAAAGACGTTGCCAAGCCATCCAAGGGTGTGGGCACACAGGTTCCATCTTTGGACTATGTTGACATTCCTCACTCTCAGATTCGAAAGGTAAAACCGTGATTACCTTGGTTGTTGAGTGCTCTTGGAATTTCTGAACTCAAAACATGTTATTTTTCTCTGTGTTACATTTATCTCACCAAGGGTTAGCCAATTTGTTTATTGCATAATTTTGGCAGGTCACTGCCTCACGCTTGTCGTTTTCAAAGCAAACTATTCCTCACTACTACTTGACTGTGGATACATGTGTAGACAAACTGATGGAGTAAGTATTTGTGTCAGATTCTATATATTGATATGGTCAATGGATGCTAAAGCTTAGCTATTTGTATCTGCACTGCAGTCTGAGGAGCCAACTCAATTCGTTGCAAGAGGCATCTGGCGGGAAACGGATATCTGTCAACGATCTTGTTATTAAGGTTCATTTACTTATTTTTGTGGACAATCGAACCTTGAAATCTCCTTGAATTGACTCGGCAAAGTCTCTTCTGTCTACCTGAATTGTAAAATTCTTTTGTTTCTGCGAATTCCAGGCTGCTGCATTGGCACTACGTAAAGTTCCTCAGTGCAACAGTTCATGGACAGACGAATATATCCGGCAGTAAGTACATTTACTCTTCAGAATTTTGCATCAACTCTAAATATATCCCATAGTTCAGATTCTTGTTCTTTCTTTTGTTATAGGTATAATGACGTCAATATTAACGTAGCTGTACAGACGGAAAATGGGCTCTACGTTCCTGTTGTCAAGGTGAGAAGGCACTCGATGCAAAGCCCTTTCCTTCCTCCCCCAAAACAAAATTCAGGTCTCTGAATTCTCGGTTACCTGTTTGCTTGATTCCAGGACGCAGACAAGAAAGGACTCTCCAAAATAACGGATGAGGTTCGGTTATTAGCACAAAAAGCAAAAGAGAACAGCTTAAAACCAGAAGATTATGAGGTAAGGAGAATCTATCTGTTCACTATCCATATAACCATTCCCCTCCAACAATATCGGTTTCGTTTCCTCAGGGAGGAACATTCACAGTCTCCAACTTGGGAGGATCCTTCGGCATCAAGCAGTTCTGTGCCGTCATAAACCCACCTCAAGCCGCCATTCTAGCAGTTGGATCTGGTAAACACACTGACACCTTCTTCCATTCTTCTACCAACAGATGTCTGAATGGATAGAATCTGCCATGACTGATTATGTTTCGTGTCTGAAAATCTCAAAAAAAAAAAAAAACAGCCGAGAAGAGGGTCATCCCTGGTAATGGAGCCGAGCAATTCAAGTTCGCATCATACATGGCTGTAACGCTGAGCTGTGACCACCGTGTGATAGACGGTAAGCTTTGCTTGCTAATAATAACAATAATAATAAGCCCTGATTTGTTTGTAATGTGTGTTTATATATAAAAAAAAATGACGAAATGGTGCAGGTGCCATTGGAGCTGAATGGCTTAAAGCTTTCAAAGGGTACATAGAGAACCCTGAGTCTATGTTGCTCTAAGCGTTTCCTTCCTCCTGTTTGAGAGAGCCTTTTTTTTGTACCATTTTGTTGTTTTTTTCCCCTCACTATATGGTTCATATTTCATGAAGTTTTCTTCTTGTAATAAGAGGTGGGGTGCGTTGTTAAATTAACACCCCCTGTCATTGCTTTCTTTTAATTTGTTTTCCGGTTCATTTATATATATATATATATATATATATCAATTTAATTGTTGATTTTATATTACATTTTGATTTTAATTATAACTTCTTAAAAACAGATTTGTTTTGAATTTGCGGGTCTGAATTAGATTAATTGGATTAATAACCGATTATTTTCAATTCAGTTTAAAAAAAAGATTGGATTTTTCCAAAATTAAAATTAGTAAACTTTGAATCAATCCATCCTATATTTTTGGATAAATTTTTATTAAAAAAAATATTTTTTTTTCCTTTCTCTTTACTACGAGAAACAATAAAAACATAAAAATATATATGAATGGGCAAATATATGTTTTCCTTCGGATGCGTTTATTAGGTAAACATATGATCTAGGATCAATCTTTATATATGGACTTTATTGACTCAGAAATTACGTCTCTTCCTTCTTTCCGGCAAGTGGAGTTGACCACCGAATCTTCAAATACAATCTTCAAATACATTATACCATGAGGTTACTGGACCACCCTTTGATAGGTCTAAGAGAGCCGAGATTCGAACACGATAGCCATGGAATTATCTATAACCCCACAAACCATCGAGCTACGAGAGGACGGCCTTTCAAAGCAAGTGTGTACCATAAAACAAATGAAATTAGTGAGGTGGAATATCACCAATGTAATAATAAGAAGGTTTATCCAATTGTAAATGGATCCAAATGAGACAAATAATCTCTTAGGGGTAAAACTGCAATATAGAAAAGATGGAGGGATCGTTTGTTTAGGTTAAAGACCATTGGATATGGAGGGGGGGCTTTATTTGTTTGGTAGCAAGTGAAAGAGTACTTTGTCTTAAATGGATATTATTATATTATTATCAGTTTTTTTTTTCTCATTGGAGTGCAGAGAAAGCAGTAATACTGTTCATTGCCTGTCTCTTTGCACATGCTATGTCTTCTTCTCTCTTGAACTTCTACGATATTTTTTCTTTAAAACCCATTCAATTAAAATTTCATATCTTTCAGTCTTTGTCAGCAATCATACAAAATTGTTTTATAGATGTATATAATATGCAAATGAGGGAGTGAATCTTTTGCTTGTTGATCCAAAGGTTCTTCATGATAATTAAGAATATAATGCATGGCACAAAGGACCATTGGTCCAAGGGATATTTTTCTATTTTGGAGCATTGGTTTCCATATGGGTTGTCACCTGCTACCCTCCGATCTGAGCTCACACGATGAACGTGAAAAGACAGTAAACAGAAAGAACACCAGAAGCTTTACGTGTTCGGATCGGTGAAAGGATCCTACGTCACGGCCGAGGGATAAGCTCAGCAATCCACTAGTCTCTTCTTGTTTACAAGGTTCGACGAATTCACAGGAGACCGAATTCGCCGGAGAACTATTGACGGAAAAACAAACAGATTAGAGGTTGAAGAAGAAATCGTGAGTTTCCCCTGAAACTCCCCTGGACTTATACCCAGCCCAAAACCAAAATGGAATTAACAACCCGAATCCAACTCTTTACAAAATTACCCTTAAACCTTCTAACCCACCCAGAGTTTTTAGTACGTGACTAGAAAACCAGGAAACCTCTGATAGAATCAGAGCTTTCTTCTGATCTTTGTCACCCACCAACAAACTCCACCTTGACAAACGTATCAGAAGAGATTCGTAGATCACCGCTCCTCCCTCGACAGGCTACCGACTTTAGCCGGTAACCCTGAGTAAGTTTAGAGCATCTCTAAACTTACTTACTGGGAGAGACTTTGTTAAAATGTCAGCTGGATTGTCTTCAGTCTTCACTTTCTGAACTTGGACTGTACCTTCTGTAATCACGTCTCTAAGGAAATGCAATCTTATATCAATATGCTTCGTTCTCTCATGATGTATGTTATTCTTGGCTAGGCAAATCGCGCTCTGAGAATCACAGAAGACAGTAACGAATCTTTGCTCAATTCCAAGTTCGTTGATCAGTCCTTTGAGCCAAAGTGCTTCCTTAACAGCTTCTGTCAAGGCCATGTATTCTGCTTCTGTGGTTGAAAGAGCCACTACATGTTGTAGTCCTGATCGCCAACTGATGGTGTTGCCTCCTAGTGTGAAGACATAACCTGTAATAGATCTCCTTTTGTCGAGATCTGATGCATAATCTGCATCACAATAGCCAATTATCTTGAATTCTGTTTCCTTCGAGAATCTGAGACCCAACTCCGAGCTTCCCTTAAACGTATATCATTACCCATTTCACTGCTTGCCAGTGTTCCTTTCCTGGTTTACTCATGTATCGACTTATCATACCCACATCATATGCCAAGTCAGGCCTAGTCCCTATCATCCCATACATTAAACTGCCAACAGCATTCAAGTATGGAGTTTCATCCAGATCTAATAGTTCTTCTTTGGTCTCTATATTTTTCAGTCGAAAATGAGCTCCTAATGTCGTTTGGACAGCTTTTGAATCTGTCATGTTGAAAGTGTTTAGTACCTTTTCCAAGTAGTTCTGCTGAGACAACTTCAGAACTCCTCTTTCTCTGTCCCTGATAATATCCATACCAAGGATTCTGCTAGCACTTCCTAAGTCCTTCATTTCGAATTGTTTACTTAGCATCTGCTTGACCTTCTGAATTTCAGACTTGTTTTCAGCAGCAATCAGCATGTCATCTACATATATCAAGAGATATATATAGGATCCCTTCTTTAACTCTTTGTAATACACACATTGGTCATAGTTGCTTCTGTTAAATCCCTGTTGTGACATAAAAGAGTCGAACTTCATGTTCCACTGTCGAGGACTCTGCTTTAACCCATACAGAGACTTTTTCAGAAGGCAGACTTTATTATTCTTCCTTTTCTTTCCATATTCTTCAGGTTGCTCCATATATATTTGTTCATCCAACTCTCCATGCAAGAAAGCTGTCTTGACATCCAATTGTTCCAGCTCCATATCTTTCAAGACAACTATAGATAATAGCAGTCTTATAGATACATGCTTCACCACCGGAGCATAGACTTCATGGTAGTCAATTCCTTCGATTTGTGAGTAGCCTTTGGCTACTAATCTGGCCTTGAACCTTGGTTTCTCTACTCCAGGAATACCAGGTTTGTATTTATACACCCATTTGCATCCTATGACGCGTTGGTTTCTTGGTTTATCCACCAGAACCCAAGTGTTGTTTTGTTCTAGGGATCTCATCTCCTCTTTCATGGCTTGAAGCCAGTTTTCACTTTCAGGAGTCTGTAATGCTTGTTGATAAGTTTTAGGCTCATCTAGCTCCAGTTCCTTGGCCACATTTAGTGCAAATGCTACTGTATTATCTTCTCTGTATCTGCTTGGAGGCTGAATGACTCTTCTAGTTCTGTCACGAGCCAACTGATAGTTCTGTAGGTCCTGAGATTCTTCTCTAATTCCTGGTTCTGTTTCTGACTCTGGTAAATACAAGTGATCTTGATTCTGTATGAAAGCAAGTTCACTTCCATTTTCTTGCTCATCTTCATTTGACACAGAATCTTCTCCACCTGAGTCTTGAGCTTGTGGAATTTGTTCTGGCTATTTTTGTCCAATTCTGAAGTCAGATATTTCAAACCTTGCCTTTTCAGCCTTCAACTCAGCTGTTCCCTGTTGGTTACTCTCATTTTGTTTCAGCTCCTTGAATGTCTGATCTTCCTTGAACTTTATATCTCGGCTGATTAGGATCTTATTTTCTTCTAGCAACCATATTCTATATCCTTTTATTCCAGAAGGATATCCTACAAAGATACCTTTCTTTGCCCTGGGATTAAGCTTTCCTTGATTTGTATGTACATATACAACTGAGCCAAATCTCCTCAAGTTTGATAAGTCTACCTATTTCCCTGTCCATTCTTCTTCTGGAATTTTGAAATCTATCGCGCTAGAGGGAGATCTGTTCACCATATACACTGCTGAAGATGCAGTCTCTGCCCAAAATTCATGGCCAAGTCCTGAGTCAGATAACATGCTTCTTACTTTGTCCATTATTGTCCTGTTCATACGTTCCGCAACGCCATTTTGTTGTGGCGTGTATGTGCAGGTTCTGTGTCTTGTGATACCTTGATCCTTGCAGTAATTATCGAATTCTTTGTTGCAGAATTCTAGTCCGTTATCTGTCCTCAAGTACTTGACTTTCCTTTCCACCTGGTTCTCAACTTGATTTTTCCACTCTGTAAATTTTCTGAAAGCTTCATTCTTTGCTTTCAAGGGGTATATCCATACTTTTCGAGTAAAGTCATCAATGAAGGAGACAAAATATTTGGCTCTTCCTAGTGAACTTTGAACATTTGAAGATCCCCATAGATCCGAGTGTATATACTCTAGGGGTCTTTCTGATGTATGCTTTCCTTTCTGGAAACTCGATCTGTGAGTTTTTCCCAAAACACAATCTTCACAGAACTCCACCTGTCTTACTTGTGTGCTATCGAGAATGCCCCTCTGTGTTAGCAGTTTCAGACCCTTGTTACTCATGTGCCCGAGTCTTCTATGCCATAGGACTGTTTCGTCCCTATTCTCTGCAACCTGGGTTTCTGCTATGAATGTGCTTCCATCAAGTATATACAATCCTCCTTCCAATTTTCCTACCAGAACTTCCACTGATCCTTTGCACACTTGCAGTTTTCCATCCTTTGATCTGAAATCGAAACCTTGTTTGTCTAGTGAACCCAAAGAGATTAAGTTTCTCTTCAACTCTGGTATATATCTCACTTGACTTAGTATCTTGAGCTTTCCATTGCTTAGCCTGAGCTTGATTTTCCCTATTCCTTTAACTTGACAGATTCCGCTATTTCCCATTAGGACTCTTCCTCCTTCCGAGAATTTTAGATCAGAGAACCACTCCTTTCTTGGACACATATGGAATGTGCATCTGGAGTCAAGAATCCATTCATCTGATGGATCCTTATCTGTCACTGCCAGAACTTCTGATTCCAGATCAGTTCCTGAGGCTGCAGCAGCCTCTCCTTGACCCTTATTTTGGCTTTCCAGAAACCTTTTTCTATTTCTACACTCCTTCTTGAAATGACCCTCC